GTCTTCACTCGGGGGGCCGGGGGGGAGAGTGAGACGGATGCAAGCTGCGGCATGCAGGGGGGTGAGCGCACTGCGGTGGTGGTGTGTGGGCTGGTGCCACCCATGAGCAAATGGTGATGTTGGAGGGGTGGTACGAAGAAGGTCGAAGAGAGCATGAGATAGTGAGGAGGGGGGGGGGGGCACGGTGGCTGGCGCCGTCCGGCAAGGGTTACTCAGAGCGAGGATGAGAATATTACCATCGCATGCCTTTAGGACGAGGGCTGGCCAAAAGAAGCGCGCTACAGATGCTGCAGAGCTCCCGGCTCACTATTGCTACGCGGTGGTCTATTTAACGCCTGCCCTATATACTGGCACTACCGCAGGGAGGAATATAGCGCTGGGAAGGAGGCGAAGCTTCCCATGCTTACCCCGAGATGTGGGCCACCAGGCGCGGGCGCCCCTCCGCGATCTCCCACTCCCTCAGAACGCTGTCCTTCCCCCCCGTGATGAGCGTGCCCGACGCTTGCCCTGATGCGATCGACGGGACGCACGCCGAGCACATCACGCCGCCGTCTCCGGCCGGGTTGTCCTCGGACCGAAGTGCCCAGGATTGGCTGCTGGGTGCTGGGTGTCGGGAACGTGCTTGTGCATGTTAGATTATCTCCCCAAGACGATTGGCTGCGTGTTATATATTGTTGCGTCATCGAGAAGGGTGTTGTCGTCGAATGCAGTAAGGGTTCTCTACAGGAACAGGCGTTAAAAACTAAAGCAGTGCTCAGAGGAGCCTTCTAACTAACACGAACAGGCCCGAGATAAATAGCATCAACTGGTATGGGCTTCCTTCTAGATGCAGTCGGGCGTGCAGCCATCGACAATAGGCATCGGCAGGAGGCCTGGAACAAAGGTATGTCAACCCAGACTACACCAGCAAAACCGGATCATACATCTTTGAATGCGGGATAGTAAACACCGTGGTTTCTCGGTCACCGTAGGCTGGTCGGCCTGTAAATTTGCGAGTAGATTTCGGGAAAAAGGACTGGCATCGACATTATAGGAGGAAAACGCCTGACCCACCACGGGTGAACATCACCAAAAGCTTGAACATCTCCCCTTACCTCCTCCTCCGCCCCACCCCCCGGCGCCACGGCCGGCTGCTGTTGCCATTTTTTCTTTGACGGCGTCTGGTTGTTCGCCGCCGCCACCGCCAACGAGCACCCACGAGGACATGCACCCCTTGACGTTGTACATCGACTTCCCCTGTCCGCACGCGACAAGCACGGGGCCCCCGTCGGCTACGTAGTCTCCGTCCTTCATCGGCAAGGATCCCCCGCCTCCTGCTGATGTGTTCGAAAGTAAGGACGTGCGTCCATGAGAGAAGGAAAGAAAAAAAAATCCGTATACTTGCTGAGGTGGCACATTTAGGCTAACGCAGCCCGCTCTGATATCTACGTACTTGCTTTGCGTTACGAGTGACTTCGGAATGGGTTTCGTGCGCGGAAGGGAGAGCGGTGGTCTGGCGCTTTACACAGGGCGAGATCGATGTTCAGCATGTCGACGCACCTGCAGGAGTGCGCGAGAGACCGGCGGCGGCCCCTTCAAACGACGGCAAAACTGTTAAGAGAACCACCTCGACGAAGCTATTTCTCGGTCGACCTAAGACTTGCTCGTTGGGAACAGTCGCCCCACTACTTCTGAGGCTGAGAACCCACACCATTGTAAACAACAGACACATAGAAACCGAAACTATGCTACAACGCCCATCACAACCCGGTAGCAAATCACAAGCCTGCCTGTGTAGACTGCGCCCTTCGGCACTACTATCAGCCTCCTTCCTGCTCACCCGGCGCAAACGGAGCGCCGCGAGATTGCCTGGCACCGCCGGCGGCCGTCGTCGCCGGCGCCCCCTCCCCGAAACGCCTCCCCCCCGTGCTGCTAGCGGTACCGCAGCCGGGGACGTTCTTCGTCCCCGTGTGTGTCATCACCGGCATGTACGCCCCTTCCCCACCAGCAGCAGCAGCAGCAGCAGTAGCAGAGTCTCCCTCACCGCCACCTCCGCGTGCTTTCCCTCCCGGGACCGAGCCACCGCTGCTACCACGTCTAAGGCCGCCGCTGCGGGCTCCCCCCGAAGTGCTGGTCCCAGCGACGCTAAAAGAGCCCGTGCTGTTGTGCATGACCGGTGCTGCGTACGAGGAAGAAGATGAAGGTCCCCGCGCGGTGGCCGCCCAGAGAGTGTTGTCGGGGGTTGTCCTTAACGTTGCCGATACCGCGTAGGCGGTTAGCGTCGGGGCAGGAACCAGCTGTCCGACTACGACGGCGACGTCGTCGTCTTTCCTGTTTCGGTCATCGTCCTGTCGACAACGGTGCAGCAAGCGTTGCCGATAGCGCGCGTCCGTTGGGTTGACAAGATATCAAGAAAGTTAGGGACCGTATTCTACGTGCAAGCTAAACACTCACCCATCAATCAATATGATCAGCACGTGCGAGGGGTGACTATGTACGACGCGAAAAGACAGTCCACCCCCCGAAAGGCATGACTGAAATACATTTATCCATCCAGAATGGCCGCCCTTCTGTGCTCCAAAGATTGATCCCTCCCGTGTGCCGATGCCTATTCAGTGGTACTTGTCTCTTACGAGAGAAAAGAAAATAGTCTCACGTGTCAGTATATGTGTCGAACTCTGTTCAACTTCCGAGTGATACATGTGCCTTCATTCTATCCACTACTGTATACATACTGCTGCCTGTTGTCTACAGCAGTTGTGTCCGTGAACTGTTGTAGGTCGAGGCGCGACAAGGCGCACGGTAAGTACCACTGCCATGCATCTAGTGCCTTGTCGATCAGCCCAAAACCACCAATTGCGTCTGTACGGACTTGTACGACGTGGTATCAGGCCGTTGGTATCATATGCTTCGGGGCATGCACCGAAACACGACATGGCTGGACACGACAATCGACAACAAGGCATATATATATATTTTTTTGTATTCCGCAAGAGCAGCGGTGTACCACACGCGGGAATCCCGTCATCCCGTCCATTTTATTATTCCTTAATTCCTCCGTCATCCTGAAATCGGTAAAAAGCAACGGTTTTGTTCCATCCCCGTTGAAAGGTTTGTTATCCTGTGGACACAGCCTTTTGCACGAGTGACTCTCGAGCTCTCGAGACGCGGGTTGCTGGTGGGCGAAGCGGCGTCGTAGACTCCAAGAAGTTATAGAAAGTAGAATACTTCAAGAAGATGTATGCATAAGTACTTCAACGTGTTCCCAAGACTCCGAAGGACGAGCCCAGAAATCTCGTGGGTTGCACGTAGACAATCGGCACACACTCTCTGAGTCAACACAGACAACACGAGAGAGCGATGCGCCAAATGTTTGCGGCGAAACCTTGGTGTGTACCGAGCAAGCGCTCAGCAGACAGGTTTCGTTCAAGAGAACTTACCGAAGGGTGTAAGATACCACACTCCCTTTGGAACGATTTTCGAAGCTTCATTACTTCACAACGAAGGGGGTGCTGAAATCAAAGGATGTGTTGCCGGAAAGCTCTCGACGGGACGGTCCCCAACGCCTCCTTTGGTAACGTCGCTGTTTTTCCTGCCAATGCCAAGTAATCGAGCTTTGAAAATCGAACTGGGGGTGCGATATCCTACGTAGTGCAGCTAATCAACCTACGTCACATACAGCAGTAGGACAGCAGTGTAGGTCGGTGAAGGCCAACACACCCACCAGTCTGTCGACAACACGAGCGATGGGGACGTCATCGCCTTGCTCGTCACCAGTTCCCCCTTTCCTCGGCGTTGCCATTATTTTCGAATACCCGAAACGCACTGCCAGAGAGAACACAGCAGGCACAGAGGGCTTGTTGACGCCACCCAAACACCCCGGCCGGGCACGTCCCCCCTCTCTCTCCCCAAGGAAATTTCTCGGACCGCATACCCATACCCGTACCAGCAGAACGCTCCGCGCGCGCCTCCGTCCGCAGTTCCCAGATACCCCTACCAGCACAATCCGCCGCCGCTTCAACCATTGCACCACCTCGGGTCATACAACCACAGCGCCACAGGAGACACGCAGTCGCGGAGAAGTACACGGCGGTCCGAGAACACAGACACTCTTACATTGGACACCAAACATGGGTATGAGCTTGCTATGATAGGGCTTTCTGATATATTTGTAGGCAGCGTGGTGTGCTCAAGCAATCTACAGCTGTGCTGTAAGTCTCCCCCGAAACAACACTGCTGCAACACTTGTCTTCTCCCCCGCGGTATCGGGACCTGTCCGTAATAGGCTAACGCTTGCCTGCTTACACCCCCCCGCAGATGGTTCCCAGCACACCACAAGGCACCCTTACACTGCTTGGCAAGACCATGCCCTGCTCCCGTTGTGCACGGTACAGCAGTAGCAGATGCTCTCGCTTTTGTGGCCCTAGTGTTGTACACACGGTCGGTTAAAAAAAGTGTTCCGTACCTGGTGCACAACGCCGAACCGGCCTTATCTCCGACTGCCCCCCTTGACGTGCTATATTCTCGCGCCGTTCTCGCAGGCAATTGCATCATTACCCCGCCGTCCCAGGTAGCCGTTATTTCCGGCCCTGGTAAATCTCGAATGGTCATCGGGGAATGGTGAGTCCGTGGGCGGCAGCATCGCGACGAATGCGTTTGGTGCCGTGGCGGGCTGAACCGGCTCGGTGTTCCTTTTGCCATCCGCGCTAGACTGCAAGTAGCCTGTACTGCTATCACACATTAATTAACTGTTGTACTGCTGTAGTCGCCGTTTTCCGCACACATGTTTGTTGAACACTCAGGCCTACTTCTTTTCTGTCGCCTGCTGCTACAATATGCCTGCTGCTGTTTGGTTCTTTTTGCTCGTGACCTGCAGCGCGTTCCAGAAATGGTTTATCGGTGAGTTCAGCGCCTACTGGCGTCGGTCCACCGCTCGCCGTGTGTGAGCTTGTGGACAACGGCTCGCACAGGCGTCGTGTAGAGAGTAGAGAGACGAAGAGGGCATGCATGCATGCGGAGCTTTGCAGGATAGGTTGTCGATAACGTTTATGGAGTGCACTTGTGCTGTGGTGATTTGTGTCTTCCTTGGGTTGCCTTGTAGCATAGGCTACAGTTGGCGCCCGCAGTTAAGAAACGCTTATTTCAGGTCCAGCCTCGAATTCTTATTGTGGGCTATAAACTCAGCGCATGTATGTCGTTCAGTTTCTTATATCATGTTTCTTATTTCTTAGAAGGTGCTTCTTGATGTCCCCGAGCTGGCTCGTTGACAGCTCTTTCTTGTTGATCTCTGAGGGTGACCTCACGAGAGCTGGTGGAGAGCACCATCAAAGCCGTGTACAGCAGACAGCATGTCGTGGTTCGCAGCCTGTCCGGTGTGCTGTGCCAAAGCTTTAGCGCCAGCAGAGAGCGTGGCAGAGCCCGCAGGGGGCCGGAGGGGGCGCCGCAAAAAAAACACTCCCCCCTCGTCGTACAACTAATAATAATGCACTATGGGAGGGGGGGGTAGGGGGAGAGGGGGAAAGAGCGAGAGAGCTGTGGGGTTTGTTTCTTATTCGACACACTCCCCCGCAAACCCTCGTTTCTTATGTAGTAGGGTAGCGGTCGCCGCTGTGTTTCTTATTGAGACATTTCTTGTTGTGTGACCCAGATTGAGCTATGTTTCTTAACCCTATTTTCTTGTTTTTCGTGAAAAAGTGAGCCTCAATTTCTTAACAAAATGTTTCTTAACTGCGGGCGCCAACTGTATTGACTTCGCTTACTGCTGCAGTGCGTGCCTTGTAGGAACAGATGAACAAATTCTTAGGTCGCAACCCTCAGCTTTTTGAACTTGTTGGATGCGCACACCCTCCCAGTGTGGGCATCGGAAGGATGCTATTAGTCCGTTGCCCGCCCCAGCCCTCGGTGATCAGAGCTTGCTCTCATAAAACGGTTGCGTCGTGGATTTCGCGGTCGGCAGAGAGCGTGGAAATCCTAAGCCTGGAGCTGATTACCCTCTCCGTAAAGAGCGTGGAGGCCGAGACCGTGCGAGGCGTTCGTGTAACCGTCAGCGGAACGTGCCAGGTCAAGGTGGACGCCTTCACGCACGATGACCTGTCGCAGAACCTTCCGCAAATCACCTTGGCGTGCCAGCACTTCCTCGGAAAGGTCAGCCAGCCGTTTGCGTGCTCTTCGATTAGATGGCTGGTTCTGAGTTGTTTCCTCGTAACACATGGCGTTGACATCACCTGGCGAGACTTTGGTAGTTCGTCGTTATCTCCATGGTTGGCTTTGGTTGGTAACGTCTGCCTTCCGTACGACTTTCCTGAAGAGCTCCAATCCACGACCACGCAGAATGATTCCTCTGCGTTGCGTGCCTTATCTATTTGGAAGGGTTGAAAGGTACTCATGAAAGCAAGCGCTTTCAACTACCATGTACGAAACGCGGATAAAACGCACCTCCTGGGATTCGAACTCCCGTCCGATTGGTAGGTTGTTGTTCAGAAGATAGAGTTTGGTGACTTCAATTTCGGGTCCTTACATCGGCCGCTGTTTGCTTGCTGCGCTCGTAGAGGTGTGTGGCTGCCATGCCCCAGGTGTCGTCGGGAAAAAAAGCTGCTGGCACAGGGGAGTGTGGACCTAGAGCGAGAGTTGGATACTCCTTCGGAGGATATTAGCCAACAATATGTTGTTAAGCATATGGTTGAGCCCGCACTCTCCGTGCTTGTCGAGAAAGAACGCGTGCCTCGGGGCCATCGACAACTACGAGACAGCATTCACGGCTGCTTCAAGTGACAAGACTCTTAAAGTCTACTGGCCCTCGGACCCTTCCGTGGGGATGTTTCTCTCCCCGTCCGCCGTCCTCTCGCAATATCTTGTCTCCTTACCACCTGGTTGCTCCTTGATGCTGTGTTGTGCTTGTGTTTCGGCAGACGTCCGACCAAGTCCACCAAGCGCTTCTCAGGACCCTGGAAGGCCACCAGAGGCAGATCCTCGGTACCCTCACCGTGGAGGAGCTGTACAAGGCGCGTTGGTTGTGCTTCCGTACCTGGAGGCGTTTGCGGGCGTTTCGGGTGTGGGGGGCATGGTAGAGTATCGAAAGCGAGTGGATGATTGTCGACTATTGTTAACTTCCCTGCTTCTACCGCCTGTCTTTGTGTCCAGGTGGTTGAGTTTACGAACCTGCGAGTGTTAAGACGTATCACCTTGGCATGTTGTTTGTCTTGTGTCAAGTCTGGTTATTGCGGCGTGTCCTGCTGCCTTTCCTCGTTCTAATTGTAAGGAGTCAGATTATTGCTTTGCTTTATGACAACAGCACCACCAGCAGTGTTGGCCATGTCTACCGGGCATGATACAAGACCGCATGGCGTCACGCCATGGCGAGAAGCCGGCACAAACTAAGAAGATGTCTTCATCTCTCTATTTCGGGTGTTTTGGGGGGGTGAATGCGAAGTGGTCATTGTTGGGTTCAAGTATGTATCGACGGGGAGCGAAATCTGACCGCTTCTCGATTCTTCGACTTCCCTAGTCCAGCTCTGGTCACATCAGCATCCAGCCTTGCTCCCTCTTCTTCCCCCTCCTCGCTTCCCCATTTCTTTACCTTCGATACGTTGTGCAGGATCGTGCAGCGTTCTCCCAGCGCGTGCGAGAGCACATCAAGGAGGTGAGTCCTGTGATTTGGAAACTAGGATGAGACTCAGTTCGTACGGCCTGCTCTCGCTCAGGCATGTCCTGCGATAGGAATGACGCCTTTCCGTTGGTCAGCCGGTTTACGCTGTTGACGTAAAATTTACAGACACAAGCGATGTCACCCAAGTCTTTATCACGCGTTGGAAAGCTCTCTCGAAACTGCCCGCCCCATCTGTTCCGCGCTGTACTGAACCCCCCCCTAGCCTCCCATGTGATGACCAGCTTCTGGTTCATGCCTTGTGAAACGTAGGCTGGACCGGCGAAAACCCGGCATATCGCTCCATCCCTGTATCGTAGGGATGCGAGGTCAGTGATCTACCGACTTTAGCATGCATTAAGTGTGTGCACCCCCCCGTGTCCCACGTGCTCTCCTTTCGCGGCTTGTGATCGACGTGAAACCCCACGTTCCGAACTGTAGGACCTGAACAACATGGGTTTCGCACTCGTGTCCTACACAGTGAACCAGGTCCTCGACTCCACAGGATAGTGAGTATCGGCGCATTTTCTCGGCTCTCCCAAGTATTTTTTATTTTGCAGACGACATGCCACATGCCAGCTCCTGAAGTCAGTGCGACAACCGCGGTCTCTGTTTCTCCAGCCCAATATACTTACACGTGAAAACAGGCGTGAATGTTTCCCGAGAACAAAGGTCTATGGTGTACACACAGCTCCTGCGTTGTTGCGTGTGAACATTCCGCTAAGATGTAGTTTCATGACGGGCGAGTCGCTTCTTGCACTGGGTCGGGGTTCTTGGGGAGGGGCGTACGCATACACGAAAGTCTCGTCTTCGAGATCGATATCGTTTGGAGGCGTTGTCGTCTCGGGGTGTGCTGTCTCGTTCGACCGATCCAGCGCTCTTGACATCACAAGCGTTTCGTTTCGCCCTGAGTGATGCCGACACTATATTGCGGTGCGACTAGAGTAATCGTGCCAGTTAGGGCTTGCTCAACGTTAGGAATTCCACCGCACATACCCCGACCTTTCTTCCCTGCTCGGGCTTCTGTTTTCCTGCCGCGAAACGATGCCTGCCCTGTGATCGTGTGGTGATGACCTGGCTTCATCGACTTCTCTCTACAGTCTAGCATGCTCTTTGTCCTGTTTGAAAGCGTTGGGTGGGCTTCTTGGTCATTCTCGTCTCTTGTGGTCGGACTCGGTTTCTATGTTCTCTGTCGTGTGTGCGTGTCCCTCTGTCTGACTCTTGCCTGTCTTCCGGTCTGTCTGTCTCTCTGCCTCTCTTCTGTGCTTCGCCAACCCTCCTTCGGGACACCATCTCGGCTCGTTGGTGGGTACCCCCTTCTTGAATGGATGGCGTGCCATTCCCTCGCTCGTAACCTTGCAGCATGGAGGCCCTCGGTGCCACTCAGACTGCACTCGTAAAGGTACACCTGGTTTTTTGTGGTTTGACGTCGTGTCGTGCGACTGCAAGCGACGTTGTACTGCTGTGTTCATATCGTTGCTGCACTTTCGGGCCTTTTTGTGCCCGATGCGTCCCTGTGGAAGGGTGCGTCGCGAAGTTGCTTTGTTCGGGATACATGTGCTGTTGCGCCTCGATGGACTTCCCTCTCTTCGTTTCACGGTTGGCCACTTCTGACCCTGTTCACGCGGACGTTTTCATGGGCCGGAGATGCACGGACCCGCCTAGCCAGTGTCGAGTTTGATGACTCGCTCTGGCCTTTCCATTCCTCTTTTTTTCTCAGCGTCGCAGGGGTGTTATCGTCCAAGAACGTTACAAGAGCACGAGAACACCCGCGACGAGTCCGGCGCTCTTTCTTTCGAAGACCGTCTTTCGCCCTAACGTCTTCCGCCCTCACGTCTCTCGCGTCTTCACCGCATTTTGTTCGCCGTCGTCCTGCTGCAGAGACTATGCATGTTTTTGTCTCTCCGGGGGACCGTTTTCGATCCGAAGCGAGAAGCCGCGGAGGGCGAGATCAAGCAACACGTTGCTTTCTTGTTCGCTCCAATCAACATCTACATTAACATCACAAATCCGCTGCCCATCTCGCTCTCTTGTTGTCGTTTCGCAGCGCGAAGCCGCGGAAGGTGAGAGCAAGAACATGTCCGAGGCCAAGAAGCGCGTGGCCGAGAACGAGAGCTCCGCCAACATGGCCGAGGCTACCTACCGCGCGGAAGCACACGTCGGGGTGGGTGCATTCTTAGTGTCGCCCATGCGCAGACCTCGGAAGATGTAGCCTATCTCTGGAAAACACATCGGCCACTTGCACAGGGAAGAGCATGGTTTTGCGACGACGCCTAGTGTCAGGAGCGCGCTATTCATGGCAGGTCGTCATTGCCGGTATAGTAGTGTCTACTAGTCGAGGTGCAGTGGTACCACCAAGCGATTTTATGGTTGCTAACAGAGCACGTTGCTATACAGGGCATGTCACTTAGCAGGGGGCCGCTCAACCACGCCCACCACTGTAATATGTCCCATGTATGCTGGTGGTACTCATGGCCCGAATGACGAAGAGCTCCTACATCGCTCTGACGGGTGTTCTCTGGAAACCCGTCTAGTGGCGGAATAGGAAGCGAACCTGGTTTGTACCAGGAAGGGATAGACACTACGCAAGTAAAGGTGTGATTGGTTCGACAGGTTACTTTCCCTTTGGGTCTATCTGCCTCCAGGCCCCTGGACCGTCCAAGTTGTTGCCAGGCAAAGAGGCGGTGGGTAAGACACGCCTACCTACGTTTTTGTTGTCAACCATTGGGCAACGTTCACGAGACGCAATCCGATGCCTTCGCGTTGCACCTACGACGATTCACAACAACCTCCAATCGCCACCTGTTCAGGTGGCCATGGAAGACGAGAAGCGGGCCGCGGCTGACCGAGACCTGGCCATCAAGAAGGCGGCCTACAAGGCCGAGGTCAACCACGCCGAGGCCACCGCGGCGGTAGCGTTCGACATCGAGAAGGCCCGGCAAGGGCAGACGGTGGTGCGAGAGCAGACGAAGCAGAGGGCCGAGGAGGCCCTGGTGATGCTGGACGTGCAGGGTACGGAGGCCCTGACGATGCAGAAGCAGAAGGAGGGTGTCTCGAAGGCGATGCTCATCGAGGAGAAGAACAAGGCCGAGGCCATCCGCGCCAAAGCCGACGTGAGAATTTCGGGGGAATTGGCCGTGTATTGTCGCTGTTTAGTCGGGGTGGCAGACTAGAAGAAAGAGTTCTGATCGCCGTGACTTGCGCGGCATCTTTCCCAGTTACGCACGTCGAGGGCACGCTGGCTTGGAGGGTGATACTTTTTTCCATATGCCAGGGTCGAGACGTGCGCCCTACATCCCGGTGCGTTTAGCAGGCATACGCGCCGCCTGCTCTAGTCGCGAAACTTGCCCCCCGGCATGACATGGTGTTCGTTTTATTCCTCGGAGAACTCCTTGCTGCTAGCGGTTCGGGGCGGAGGCCACGAACGAATACCGGTCGCCCAAAGATCGCGGGGCAGGTCGATCTTTCTCACAGGCTCTTGGCCCTTCGGACTGGTCAGGCAATTCTGCTTTACACAGGATTTTCCGTCCAGGCGGTTTACGATCGTCGAAACCCGACGTGAACTATGCCTACAAGCGGAGAACCTTAGTCGTTTCCACGCAGAGGTCTGTTCGGGGGGGGTGCACCGATGTAATTGGAGTTTAAGGGAAGAACGGCACCGCGGGGTTGAGGTACGGTTGAATTCTGCAGCTATTGTGGCTGCAGCGAGTCGCTCGCAATCAAAGATGCGGGCTCCTCGCCGCCGCCCAATACGATGCCCCCCCGTTTTCCGCCATTAACGCGTGCTGTCGAACGTACCTGTACGCGTTTCCCAGGCGAAAGCGCACGAGATCAACCAAGTCGGCGTGGCAGAAGCGGCGGCCATTCTGGCGAAGGGAGAGGCCGAGGCTAAGGTAAAACGCGGCGCAGTGCCAACCACGTAGCACTGGTTCATGCTGCTGCTTTCGTGGTTGTGCATGCTTAGAGCTCGTCTCGACACTCATCGTGTGACGTTCTAAGAGGGTTTACAAGCCGCCCAGTCTGTAGACCGCTAGGCCATGCACTATACTTCACTGCGTAGTATACTCGCCGAGCTAGTATATTCGGGCGTATGGTCGACTTCGCTTTCGAAGCAATGGATGCGGCCAGAGTGAAAGAACTGCTTCGTTCACGCACACATTAACACCATGGCCGATTTTTTCTTTGAATTGAACAAGTCGCATGTCGATGCGAAAGTTTCCCCATTTCTTGCGATTGGGGGCAGTACTCCCCGTACCATCCCGACCGTGATTTGGACACGCTTCGGGGGCTTTTTTGTTGTCCTTTTTTCGTTCTTGGGCGCCAGGTTCTCGAGCTCCGTGGTGATGCATTCCAGCACTTTGGAAACGCAGCGGTGGTCCAGAGCATCGTCGACAAGCTGCCCGATATCGCCAGGGAGATCGCCGCTCCTCTCGCGAAGACCGACAAGGTGCGTGACACCCCCCGATTCCCGCCCTGTGTGTTTTTCCCCGCTTGGGGCACGTGTGATCTCAAACAGCACGTGTTTCTGCTTGACCACGCGCCGTTCGTTAGGCATGTGTTATTTTGGACTTGGGGGTCACGATCCGAATCTGGGGGTGTGTCTTGTTTGAGCGATACGCGTCTTGAAGCGGGCGACGCGTGGGCCCTAACAGCGGCAGAGAACGAGGTATCATCGGAGGAAAGGTTTGTCTCTGTGAGGAGGAGGGTTCGTGTCAAACATGCCTACGCCTCCCCGCTTTGGACCGTATCGCTCGCACGCGGCCACCGGTACCCTGAGCAGTCCGCCCCCACCAAGCCTCGGCTGACCCGGCCGTACGGTTCGAAAACTCGCGTCCTGTGGAAAACCGCGCTCACGTCGATTACTCTTCCTCTCCCTGTGATGTCTGTCCCGCACTTCCCCCCATCTTCTGTGTGCGCGTCCTGTTCTCTCTGCAGATGGTCTTCATCGCTGGCGAGGGCGGCGGTGCCGGCAGCCGCCTTACGCAAGACGTTGGCAACATCCTGGCGCAACTCCCCGAAACCGTTGAGGCACTGACGGGAGGTAACTTCTTCTCTGCCATCCAAGACTTGGGTAGACTTTGGCAGGCCTGGTTGCGACCACCCGGAGACGCCGTGATCGCGATTTCCGCACGTTTGCAAAGCTTAGTGACATCAATACTGAGTGTTGTGTGTAGTGAACATAAGGTACTATCCCAACACCCAATGGTTTATCCGCGGGTCTCAGCGCCAACCTTGACTGTTCTACGATATTGCCTGCTCTACTTGGGGGGAGGTAGTGCTGCCAGCAGGCCTGTGTCGAGGATCACCTCCTGGATGTTATTCATTCTCTAGTAGCGAACCTGGCCACCGCTGGTAACATTCATGCCTGCTCCGGGCGCCCGTCAGACACCCTACCTTGTCGTCCATACCATGCGGCTCTCCTTTTTGTTTTTCGTCGTCCCAAGCTCCTTGACTGTCTCCATTTGTTATCTGTGGGTATATGTACATCGACTTGCTTTCAACACAACGACAAAGAAGCCCACCGTTTGTCTCTGAAGCCCCGCATCACTCTTTTTCTCTTCTCGCAGTCGACATTACGAAGGGTTTGGAGCGCTACCTTGGGGGCGGCGGGCAGGAGAGGTCTGCAGGAAGCAACGGACCCGCGGCCGGCAAGGGATCCCCCCTCCCCCGTTCCACCGGAAAAGCGAATTAATGCGAACCGTGGCACAGCTCTACTCTACTCTTTTCCTGACGACGAAACAATTGTGGTGACGGCATCTTGGTAAATATTTGACCCGGAGGAGAGTACATCTCCTGCGTGCGCATGCGCGCACATGTTGTTTAGACTCTTTCGTGATGTTTTCCAGACGACAGTGTTGGGCGTTAGAGATGTATTGAATGCCATTTTCAGGATAGAAAAGGAAGCGACAGCCTCTGTGGCCATCTGCGGGGCGTCGGACGTTGACCGCGACTGCAATCCTGCCTGAAGTTCGAGACTGTTGGCGTATCGTTTTTTTTTATTGCAAAGAGGTCGCCTTCCTGTCACGCCCCCCTGCTCGCAATAGTCCAAGCAGCAAAGAGCGCACGTAGCTTAGCCAATCGGGCCTCTCTTTGTGGCGTGTGCCATAATCGCGGAAGGGTTTGTATTTCTGGCTCGGCATGGAGGGTTTGTGATGTCGTTGTGGAAGGATACAGCGGCCCATCTTTATGTATGTTTATCGTGAAGCAACAGTACAAAATAGTTCGATTGCAACCCGCAGTTGGATGCTCACCTCACACTTAAGCAAGATTGATTGTTGTTGTTTGGCCGTGTAACTGTCTGATTTTCGTACAAGATGTTGTGTTCTCCTCAGCCGAATCGGGCGAATACAAGAACTCTCCAACTGTTGGTATTATTGATACACAAGTACCTTTTTCGAATCGCGATTAACACCGGGATAATTAAGTCTTGTATTGTAGGAGTGTATGAAGTACAAACTCGGGCAACAATTCGTAGGAAGCCAATCACTACGGGGGGAGCTCCCTTGCTGTAGAGACGTAAGATTATGTTGAACGGCGTGCCTTGGTTCAACGCCCTTTTCTCGAGTCACGCGTGTGTCAAGCGAGTGCCGCACTCGTGTTGCTGGTAGCTGGTTGTCTTAATTTGTTTTTCGTCGTTGACTATCCTCTGTGTGCGCGATCTTACTCCGTTTTGAGTGCGCACGCGCCGCGGGGAGGCCGATGGATGCGGCCAGTTCGATTAATATGTAGTAGCTTGCAACAGGGTTTTCATGTTCGTTCTGCTGGGTAGATGGGTAAGCAGTATTTTGCCCGTGAAAACGCAACAATCCAGTACCTCTTCAACTCGAGTTTGCATGTATATACGTAGCACTGTTTGCGCCGAGACGAGTTTGGGTGGAGGCATGCGAAGGAAGCTGAGATTGTCATCATGTTCTTCTTGCGGAGTCGAAGAAGGACCGCTGGATACAAGGTTCGATATGTCGCAAGATGAAAATGTTCAAGTATTGCGTGACTGACTCCAGGCGCGTGTAGATTGTTCCCGGCGGCGTGCTGCACGCGCACAGCCAGTACGAAGTGTAGGGAGACGTAGCCCGTTCTCCACCTCGCCCGCGCCACAGACGAATGGGTAATAGTGTCCTTCGCATCTTAGAGGTTGTGAGCGGCCAAGCTCAAACCCTCTCAGACTCCGTTTCCAGACTTCCCGTCTGTGGCCAAGCCTACCCAAACGAGTGTACGGTAAAAACCGCTACCAAGGATGGAGGCCCCGGATTACCGGTAGGGCGACGAGTGCACAAGCACGCCGTGAACGTCCTCTCTGTAGCTCCATGGGCACGAACAGGTACCTTGGCGTTTCGGCCTCTCTCCCGCGCGGATTGAAGCGCGACATACTGCTGTGATTCGGAAGGCAATACCTTTCGGGGGGAGAGGAGCTTAAGGACCTAGGTACAGATGTGTCACGGCATTTTGGCACCATCACAATTGCTTCTTTTCACGATATCTCGAAGAGTTTATGGGGGATTAAAATATTGAAAAGATTGCGCGAAAGCGCCAGGTGGATGGAATCTAAAGCACAATTCTCGCGCATTTCGAGTATTGACCATAGCGCCAATATCTCGACAAATTGTTGGCCGATGAAAAATAAAACGTACCCGTTTTTGGGCCGATCTAAGCGGATGCATTCAAAGCCCTTTGACGAGGAAATGAGATTTTCCGGAAGGGTTAGGTTTCAACCTTTTTTTGTTTGAGGCCAAATATGGCCGTCCCGTGGGACGCTGTCGTTTACCTTTTTTCTTTATTTCCTATTTTCCTACCACAAGAAATTAGCAAAAGCTCCCACCAGAGGGTTCATTTCCCTGGGGTTTCGGGAAAGAAAGCTAACCCTTCGAGAAATGAGGCTCCATCGTAGGTTGAACGAATCCGCATGAAACAGCCGCAGAGACGTACGGTATGGAAGCAGTTTTTTAATCGGCTTAACACTCGTCGATATATCTACAAACAGATTTTTCTTATGGAAAACCGAGATTATTCCATTATTTCCGAAAACAAAGCGAAATTTCCTTACCGGAAGACCAATCAAAATACCGGCGCGTCGCATTCGTTTTCGATTCCTCGTGAAAATAGTTTTAGGGATCGGATGCCATAAGACCCGAGGTCCTGTTGCAAAGATCGAGATGAAATAAAAAATATTTTCGGTGTGTTTTGTTATCATGTCAAAGTTCTCGTCGAATTGCCGTGAAAACACCTGTAGGCTATCACGACACGATGCTTACTCATTCCTGTACCAACAATGTGCGCCGACAATCGTACTTCCTCTTCTCACGCCGATCTTCACCCCAAACTCAAGCGATACACCTTCGAATGAAAAAGGGTCTCGCCCAAGTCTCCCGAACCCGTGCACATGGCCTTACTTCAAGCGTACACGGTACAAGCCGGCAACTGAGGACGTGCCAAAAGCAACGCCGACTCCAAAGTTCCCCGTAACGCCCATCCATCCATATATGTAGTCGTCGATACACGACAGGGAAGGCGCAACAATTTCTGCATGTCGGCTCAAACGCACCCACAACCAAACACAGGAGTCAATTTTCCCTGACTCGACCCGACAGACCCACCTCCACCACACAGCAAACACAAATAGCTCAATAGTCTAGACCCTTACACGGCAGATACAAATCCATGACTCCGAAGGAGGCAAACGTCACAAAGTGCACAAGCATTGTTGAAACAGGTACGAACACATTTCCCAACGTACGTCGAACATCTACGAAAAGTACAGACGCCCCCCCTCCCAAGCCTCACAACGATGGGCTAGAAACCGCCATCGTGTTTGTTTGCTTGGCCACGGCGATGTCCCGCCCCTAGCCTCCGTGCGAACAGATTTCCCAACGTACGTTGAACATCTACGAAAACGTACAGACGCCCCCCTTCCCAAGTCCAACAACGATGGGCTAGAAACCGCCATCATCGTGCTCGTTTGCTTGGCCACGGCGATGTGCCGACCCTGGCCTTCACCAAAACAGACACACATTACATGAGAAACGGCAGTAAACTTCGTCTCTGCTGTCTCTACCAGACACTTGGAATCAACGGCAGTGTTTTCAATAAAGATTCGGTACACAGAGCGGTAGACTCGGACCTCTAGATAATGTTCAACCCGAATAATTACAGCCGACACAATGAAGGGGTACCACGAAGACGTAGCGTGTTCCCCCCCCACGGTCGCTTCCTGGCCTCTCACGAAAAGCAAAAAGGAAGGGCGGCAGCACATGAACCGATCAACAGGATGCCCTCCTCACGATAGAGGGGCACGCAGGCAGCACACAGAGTCGACAGAAGAATATTCGCCCTGCGCTGCATGTACGGCCGGAAAATTTCAGCGTGCCTAGGTTGTGAGGTGTTCCGGAAGGCAGCAATCTCTGGACCCCTAAAGCTTGTTGCTGCCATATAGTCGATGGCACTGGATCCTTAGTGGTCTCCTGGCGTGACGGGCTGGGACCTCTGCTTAGCGGCGGCCGCCCCCAGCAGGGCAGCAAGCTTCGGGTCCATGTGGCCGTTGCTGTTTCCCGTTCCCCCTCCTCCGCTCCCGACCATGCGGTCCAATCCTTTCGTGATGTCCACTGCGAAAATCAGACAGGGAGGAGGGGCGAGAAAGGCGTATAAATTGATGTGGGTCGAAAAACGAAGTTGACGTTCGCGTTGATAAAACACCGGTAAAGATTGCACCAATCGCACAGACTACTGCTCTCCGAAAAAAGTGACGGGGAAAGCGAGCTGAGAAATACCTCCAGTTAAGGCCTCGACAGTCTCGGGTAGTTGCGCCAGAATGCTGCCCACGTCTTGGGTGAGCCGGCTGCCGGCGCCCCCGCCCTCCCCGGCGATGAACACCATCTGCAAAGTGCGACGCACAACGCACAACGCACAACGCACAGGACATTGGAAACGCGTGGAGAACGAAAGAAGACCGAGGTTAAGGGTGTGTACCGACTTCAGAATATAAACGATTCGGATAGTGTCGGATCTTGGGTCGGTGCGGGGAGCATACCTTCAAGAGGCTATCGAAATGAAGTACGCCACCTGTCCTCAGTAAATCTCTCAAGGGGAAATATCACAGCCCCACCAAAGCCACAAGGAGACTATCGCGGGGACGCTGAGGTGGTGAGAGAGAGAGAGAGAGCAAAGAAAAGCCACATGCTACGCGGAGGTGCGTTCTACACTCGGCAGAGATGGTGGGCGGACGGTGGACACAAGTTTTGCGCCGCATGTGTGTAATCTGTTCCAAGACGAGCTTTCTTCCGCTCCAGATGATCAACAACACCGCCGCTCAGCTTTTCGGAATTTGTAGCTCAAAATACGTGCATACACCAGTGGAAATATCGTGGAACACCCCCGGCACATTCAAAAGAAGCTGGTGGGGGAAGGTGGTTCTCATCATGGTGCAAGAATGCGGCGAAACAGGGGCAGTGGGAGAGTCGAACCTTGTCGGTCTTGGCGAGAGGGGCGGCGATCTCCCTGGCGATGTCGGGCAGCCTGTCGACGATGCTTTGCACGATGGCGGCGTTGCCGAAGTGCTGGAATGAATCGCCACGAAGTTCAAGAACCTGGAAGGAAAGAAGGTGGCGAAAAAGAGCGATCGCCCCGCAGCGAAAATGTGAATTCCGAGTGTCTCCATCTAAACCGGCAAGCTACACCCTGGGGCGCCGTCATTCAGATGTCTTCGCTGCATTGTTGCACGAACACAGCGTCTCCTACGAGCTTCATCTGCAAAGTTAAGCTTCCGTCGGAGCTCGAGAGCCCTGCGCTTTTAACCACCAGTGTGTGTATCATGACCTTCACGTGAGTGTATTTGTCTGTGTTCAATGTACAAGTAAAAAGGAAGAACATCGGGAGAAGAGATTGAAACAAGAGGAGCAAAAAACAGATGTCAAAGCGACGTTCACGTGGGTGCGGGCGAAAACTCCGAGCTATGACGACCAAAAGTGAGCCAAAAGAGGGGTGTTGCAATCCATACCTTGGACTCTGCCTCTCCCTTAGCCAAGATGGCGGAGGCCTCGGCCACACCAACTTGGTTGATCTCGTGTGCTTTGGCCTGCTCAGCCGTAAGGGCCACACAAGGGGGTGGGTGGGTGCGGGAATCGTAATGATACACACTCTGGTAGCAGTAGCTCCCCGAGCATAGCAATCATCTGCAACGCAACCACGCGCACGAAAAACGGCGAGAGTGCTCAACAGGAAGGCTTCCCTTTCTTGAAAAGAACGCAACGGGACATGTACTACGCCAACCCGGCGCTGGCACGGTGCTTACGTCGGCCTTGGCGCGGATGGCCTCGGCCTTGTTCTTCTCCTCGATGAGCATCGCCTTCGAGACACCCTCCTTCTGCTTCTGCATCGTCAGGGCCTCCGTACCCTGCACGTCCAGCATCACCAGGGCCTCCTCGGCTCTCTGCTTCGTCTGCTCTCGCACCACCGTCTGCCCTTGCCGGGCCTTCTCGATGTCGAACGCTACCGCCGCGGTGGCCTCGGCGTGGTTGACCTCGGCCTTGTAGGCCGCCTTCTTGATGGCCAGGTCTCGGTCAGCCGCGGCCCGCTTCTCGTCTTCCATGGCCACCTAAACCATGATATTTTGTACAGCCAAACGTTATTTCGCCACGATGGAACGAGGATGTACATCCTCGGTGCTGGGATCATGAAACGGTCACGCAGCACTCGATAGCAAAAAAGAAAAATGTTTCGAGTTGCTGTAGACCCACGCTAGGGACACAACGTTTTGATCACGGGCCGTGCATGAAAAAGACTCGAATAATAAAAAATCAACCGCCGATTGGGGGTGAAAGTACATCGTGCAGACGTATAGTGTCTAGTTTCGAAAAACAAACTTACCCCGACGTGTGCTTCCGCGCGGTAGGTAGCCTCGGCCATGTTGGCAGAGCTCTCGTTTTCGGCCACGCGCTTCTTGGCCTCTGAAACGTTCTTGCTCTCTCCTTCCGCGGCTTCGCGCTGCGAAACGGCAACATTAGAAGCGAGATAGGCAGAGAACTTGTGATGCAATTGTAGATGTCGATTGAAAGAGAAATATGCTAGGGGATTGTGACGTAAATGTTGACATCGATGGGAGTGAACAAGAATGCGACTTGTGCTTGCTCTCAACATATCACGCTTCAACATGACAACAAAGAAGCGGTTGGGACGCGTGGTGCAAATATTCACACAATGGTTGTTTTTTTTAGCAACGCACAAGCAAAGGCTAGGCACGCGGCCAACGTGAACGACCACAGGTCACCATGATGTCAAAAGTGGTCGTGCAGAGGACAACTTCCAGAGTTAGCTAAGTTTGTAGCTGCAACGAAGAAGGCGCCAAACATCCATGCAACATTGTGTAATACTCTATCTGGCACCGACCTTGACGAGGGCGGTCTGAGTAGCACCAAGCGCTTCCATGCTGCGAGAAGGTCGCCAACAGATCGCATTAACGAGAGAAGCAGAAAACGCACGGGCAAGAGAGGGTATAGTGCAGCGGGAGATGGGTGCCGTCACACAGCATGCACGGCTTCATTGTCGACGATGCCAGCATTTTGTTACCGGTCCGCATCAACACAGGCGCCATCGCGACTTGAAGGGGCCAATGGTCACCACACTTAGAAGGTTTACGATTTATCCGGGAGGTTTTCACGTCCTCCACTGCACATGTATCCACTCGATTACCGTCTACAGACCTACAAGATGGTATCGCTACTTTTTCTCGGCAGAGGGGGAAAAAATTGGAGGATGCCAACGCCTCGCCTTCCCAGGAGCAATCCCTGCATGGAATGCACACAGCGTCGCACAAGCATTGGTGCCGTACTCACTATCCTTGGGAGTCGAGGACCTGGTTCACCGTGTAGGACACGAGCGCGAAGCCCATGTTGTTCAGGTCCTACCGAGGCAAGAGTTGGGACACAAAAACAGCGCGATTAGTCGTGACGGGGTGTACAGACTTCCGGACTAGATGCCATCGTCGCAGCACCGCTGGCGCAGACATTGTTGGTGAGTGGAAAAGCACGGCGCTTTGGCGGAGCATCCCAGCTAGCGAATGAAGAGCCTTGCGTCCCGCAGGAACGGTTCAGCTTCTGCGAACCTTGGCTTCGCGCACCTTCTACGTTGAAACAAACACAGGACTTGCAACAACGTCGGATCGAGGCATCACCACCTCAACCGCCATGAGCTCTGCGTCACGACGTGGAGGTCATGCTCCCTACGTAACGAGATGCTTCGCTGTTGAGGCGACCATATCCCGCAACCTCCCCCCCGGGAAAACACCAGCCTATCCCACCGATGTTCTCTCACCTCCTGGATGTGTTCTCGGACACGCTGTGAGAAAGCGGCGCGATCCTAAATTCCCGGTCGACATGGGAAAGAGGAAAAAAAAAAGCGATGAAACCATTTGGGGGGGAAAAAAGACCAGCGGAGTTCCCACAGGTTCCGCAGTTGTGAAGGAGCTGAATGCTGAAGAACCTACGTGCCAAAAGGGAAGTGTGATCTACAATCGCAATATATTATCCACGGGTTCATTCTACCGGCGGTGCTGTCGCGGCGCCTACAAGTCCTCAGAGATGTCATCAAGGCCGGGCTGCTGTTGCAAAAAATGTTCTAAACGTTGGTATAGTATGCCTTATCTCGTTTGGCTATGCGTATGTTTCTATTGAGATGTACAAATCTGCCATGCCTTCTCCTGTGGACGGGCCGACAACACACCTTGTACAGCTCTTCCACGGTGAGGGTGCCGAGGATCTGCCGCTGGTGGCCTTCAAGAGTCCGGAGAAGCGCTTGGTGGACTTGATCCTCAGTCTGACAGAAGGAGAACCGATACAAGCAGGCGACCGAAATGGGAAAAAATGGTTGTGAATAGCGAGGGGGGTGAGGATAGCAGAGAAATACATACGTTGCCAGTTGTATAGATGTGGTGGCGAGACCAGGGCAAGAAAACGTCTGCCATACCGGTCGAAAAGCACGCAGCAAGTGGGCCCCTTGGCCGAAAAGCAAAAGAACGAACGCTTAGGGCTGTTTGAGGCTTGATGGGGTTGTGCTGATCGGCCAAGATTTAGTTAACAAGCATATCACCGACCTTGCCGAGGAAGTGCTGGCACGCCAAGGTGATCTGCGGAAGGTTCTGCTCGAGGTCCTGTTGGGTGAATGCGTCGACCTTGACCTGGCAGGTTCCGCTGACGGTCACGCGAACGCCTCGCACGGTCTCGGCCTCCACGCTCTTCACTGTCAAGGTGATCAGCTCAAGGCTCAGGATCTCCACCCTCTCTGGTGACGGAGGCAATAGGGAAGGAAATAAGGTGTTGTGTCGACACGTGCGGCCGCTTTATAGCCTTCAGACTTCGGCGCGGTGTGATATGGCAGCTTCGGTGGGCAGCTTTTTTAGGCTTTGCGTGACGGCACCACTACTGTTAGGTGTGGTCGCGTCGCCGAGGACAAATATGACATGGCTGGAAACCCCCCTGACCAAAGTGTGGCTACAAACTAATATCGTTGCGGACAAGGAAGTCTCCAGAAAGTGTAGGGTGCATGCGGTGGCTAGAAACTCCCTTGTTGGACTTTGTTGTGTTGTTTACGAAAAACTTGGTCTCGACCCGATTATGGTGTTTCTTAACTCCACGCCCGGTCTGTGCAGTGTACATACGGCGCAGGATGCAATATTGGTTGCGCTTGTGCTCGTCCAATCCAGGCTACAAATGTAGACTATGTGGTGCCATTCTTTGCGACAGAGTAACATAGCAGGTATGAGCAAACATGCCCATCCTGGACGCAGAGCACTGCTGCTGTAGTTCCGTTTGTACAAGTTAATGGTTGGAACTACTACTGTAGAGTAAACATGTGGCATATCCATATGTAAGCGCCACTTTGTGCGGGCGGCCTTATTGAGAAACAAGAATTTTCCCCGGAAGCACTCTACAGTTTTCATGTCGGCATCATTTCCCGCGTTAGCCAGAAACCATGGAACAATCCAGTATTTTTTGGGCGATAACTGGCCACCACGGCACAGGTTAGTATTTTTGGCGGTAACTGGCCACCACGGTAAATTTCGTGCGGTAACTGGTCAAGACGGTAATTTTCTTGTACGGTAACCAGCCACCACGGCAATGCACAGAAATAAATGTTCATATTTTCACGGTAACTGGTCAACACGGTATGAGTTGTACAGTCATCCACATCATGGCACGTCGGACCCTGTTTCGCTTACTTGCTTTGAAGTGTTCCTTATGCGTGTGGCCACCGCACAACAAACGTGCGCGACACTTTCACTGAGCATCACGTCCGTCAACCAAACAAACCGGTCGCATAATAAAAAGAAGGGTGAAAACCAGACAGCATAATACATAATATATGCACTTCATTGCAGGCAGGCTCGCGTGGCCTCAAGACGACGTGGCAAGTCCAGCGCTGCGCCAAGTAATTATATAATTTTTATGCCATCAGCAGAAAGGGCCGGCAAGAAGAAAGCGCCGCGTTCCTCATACATACACAGAAACGATGTGGATCTGAACGGTTCAACAAAAAAACAAGAGAACAACCCTTACGCAACAGGCCCCCAAAAAAAACACCAACCATGAACACCTGTTGGTCAAATCAGCCAATCAGGCGAAAGAGGAGGAAATAACAAAAGAGGAGGAAAGAACAAACAAGAGGACGCACATATACCTACTTGGCGTAGAGTGAGCAGTCATTTTACTGCTGTGGTGTATGGGTCTCATCGTTCTTACGGCGGCAATGTACCCCGCGGTAACTCGGGAATTGCAATTTTTGCGCGGTAATGGCAAACATCAATATTTTCGTTTATGGTTTGGGCGTTAATGGTGATGTATCACGGGATCACGGGAAACGGTAATTACCGCACGCAGTGAAATTACCGCGGAGAAATTAACGAAGAAAGCCCGGGAAAATTCCTCGGGCTAGAGATGGATACTTGCTTTCTTTGGCCAAGCTACATACATACACAGATAGCAGTCTTGCAGACCAAGTACCGAGAAGTAGAAGGAGTACGTCCTTAGACCCATGTTTATGGTCGCCAAATCTTTGAAAAAAATCTTCAAATGTTGTCAAACATTTGCGCGCGAATATCTGCCAGAGGAACATTTGAGTACCGTTTTTATGGGCAAAAAAATCTTTATCGTGTGGTTTCTCGAAATGCATCGCACGTGCGGCGGCAATCGTGGTCTACTGCTACCAAACGATTTGTGACAGACAAACCACAAATGCGTCATGGAAACTGAATGTAACGAGCTCGCCAAGGGCTCCCCACAACCCTTGATGCACTGAGCTGATGCTGTGCCCGCCAATATGTGGCGATAGCGCTCCGGGCGTGCGAGAAAAAATGTTCTCGGTGTCAAAAAGAGACCAAAACGTGCGTCAGCACTTCCCAACGGCAAAAAGTCGGCCGCTTGAGAGGACACGTGAGTACAAAACTATCCAGCTCTCGTCCTCTAGACCATCGATTCATGTTTTGTCTTCTTGGGTGTCTTCTCCATCAACGACTCTCATCCGGTTGTGCGTGGGTTGGCAGTGGCCGCGCTCAGCCGGCAGGGAGGCACATCGTTATGCGCGCAAAGTTGTGGACACAACGTTTTTTTCGGTCTATTTTTTCACTTGAATATAGAGCTCTTGTTCCTCCGTCCCAAAAAAGACTTTTTCAACACATCGAGTTCACAGCGACGCGCCTCCCTGCCTGTTGAGTAAGTCCACTGCTGAACCACGCACACCCGGATGAGAGCCGTTGATGGAGAAGACACCCAAGAAGACAAGACATGAATCGATGGTCTAGAGGACGAGCGCTGGATAGTTTTGTACTCACCTCTCCTCTCAAGCAGCCGACTTTTTGCCGTTTGGAGACACAAACCACGCTTTCTCCGTGCCCTCCAAACCACCCCCGTCTGTTTGTTTTTTTGTGCACGCTTGACGAGCTCCCGCCATGTATCAGCCGGCAAAACATTGACACGGTGACTCTAGGGTTGTCCGGATCCCTCTATGAGCTTGCTACGTTGAGTGTGCGCTACGCAGTGGTTGGTGTTTAGGACGGAAGGGGCGGTCGTCTACTAATCCCGCCGCTCTTGGGAAACATTTCCGCGACCTGCCCCATTTCAAAATGTTGAGAATATTTTGTCAAACGAGCGACTTTTGCCCCATTTCAAAATGTTTGAGAATATTTTGGCGAAGATTTTCTCCCATAAACAGTGAAACAAAATCTTTGTCCGCAAATGTTTGAAAATATAAACATTTTCGCAAAGATTTGGCGACCATAAACATGGGTCTTAGTAAAGGTTCGACTGCTGTATGTACCGAACGTCGGACGAAAGACTGGGCAACCACTGATCAGATGGTCTAATTTTATCTAGGAAACCGCACATACATACATACCTAATGAATTTACCCATGCATAATACTTCACGACGATGACAACTGAAGCTGCACAAACATACAGCTGACGACTCTATGAGCCCCACACAGGATCGTTGCCTACTGAGCAAACAAACGCACATCAACAAACAAACGTTTCGATTCCGATCGCTCGTCTGACCACCGCTTTCAGTCTTGCAAACGCAATGAAGAATAGTCCTTCTCCACACTCAACTCAGAAAGTGGCAGCGGCCCTACTCTGACAGCAGTGTAGTCTACATTTATTTCCAGAGAAGAACCGGGAAGGAGTAAGGGCCGTTTTAATAACATCCGACAGGATCAGGTAGTTACCCTCACTCACCGATAAACCACTTTTGAAATGCGCTGCAGGGACAAACGACAAACAACAAAGGCAGGAGGATGGGAGGGCGCTGTTATTTAGCGGGCATGAATGTGGCGAATTGCGCGCTAGACCATCTGTCTACACGAGAAGTTGTCGAGCGTGAAACTATGTAACTACTACGGCTAAGACTGCACAACTAAATAACGAAACAACTACACAGCAGTCCTGCGCTGCTCTAGACTGCGCTGTTGTGCAACATATATATGTACAGAGTGGAGCAGTGCGTGACCTACAGCAGTGCAGAGCAGGTAGGCGTTAAAGTAGTTTGTTGGGTTAGTGCTCCGCACGCGCAATCCACTCGTTCTACATGTACAGCTATGCGCAGCTCACCACTGCCCGATGACCATGCGGGATTTACCAGGGCCAGAGATAACGGCCACCTGAGACGGCGGGGTGATGATGCAGTTTCCTGCGAAACAGGTTGCAGGACGAAAGGCCAGCAGTGCTCGCATAAACTAGAGTTAGGGGGTGGATAGAGTGACTCAGATATTCATCACGTCCAGAGTAGTTCAATGGCGGCATCTCCTACTTGAGGACTGGAGCACTTTTACGTGGTGCGACAAACCCATCGTGATGTAGCAGTACAAAAAAAGCAGACTCATGTTAGCCCTAGACTGCTGTAACCTGTTGTTGTGCTGTCGTTTGTGTCTTTTCGTATCTCACCCATGATGTAGTAGCGCTTCCTTCTTCCGCAAAGGGTGGGGATTAGACAGCAACAGCGTCCAGCAGAGTGGGCAGTACGCAGTGCAACTGGTTTGGTGTTGTACAGGCGTTGAAGAACACCGCTGTTGTTGTGGGTGTCACATTGACGCCTCGGAATTTCCTCGGGCCTGTGTGGAGAACGGTTCGCAGATCTGGGATTTTTCCTCGCGAGTTCAAACCGTTTTGGGGCTTGAACCATCGTACAGATCACAGACCCGCCACCTAATAGATAGATAGATAGATAGATAGATTATCAGGCTACTGCTCGACTCCTGATGCTTATGCGCCAAAGTTATCTACATAGCGGTATGTTACATAGTCTATGTGTAGCTCCGACCCCCCAGACGCCACAACAACTGTTGTTGAACACCACTCTGCAGTCTGCAGTGGCCCGCCAGCCGTATTCTGCAGTAGTATCCAAGATGATGATAAATAATTATAAAGAGGAAAAAAAGCGATAAAACAACGCGGCAGACGTCACACATTGGTGGGCTCGTTTCCTGCAGCTCAAGTTCGCAAGGGCTTTTTTTTGGGGTGGGATCTTCTGAGCTCTCGGTACACCGGCCGCTGGTGAGACGTGCGCAAGACGTGTTTGTTTGCTTTGACTGCACGTATGCGTATACGTGTTTGTTTACACTAATTATTCACCGGGCCAACTTTTTTTACGTCGTTTCCAGGTACTTCAGCAGCAGCTGCATGCACTGAAAATAATAAGAGAACGTCAACAAGCACACACTACCAGGGAGAAAGAGGAAGAAAGAGGGGCCGGGTTAGGCGTAGGTTTGCGATGAAAGCGACACTTGTGCCCGCACATGCAGATATATATGCACCTCGAACAACACTATAGACAAATGCAGATGATTACATAAGACACACAAGAAGATCTCGCTGACTCCGCTCGTCGCCTCCCACACATCACCACTTACAGCACATCATCAAGTGATCTCGCCGCCTCGCACCCCCATTTTCATTTTATTTCTATTTTCTCTTCCCCTAAAATTTTTACGGTTTCCATTTTTCTCTTTTTTCTCTTTTTTCTCTCTTTTTTTCTCTCTTCTTTTTCTGTGCCAGCTGTCCTTGTCTCTGCTTGCGTTGTGAAGTACCAAGATTGAACCAAGGGGGTGTACCTCTTTCTCTCCGGCCCATGACAGATAGTGACTGCTAGTCTCAGTTGATACCTCGCATAGCGCGAAGAGGGAGTGGAGGATTCCAGAATATCTGTCCTTGATTTCTATTGACTTGCGGACCCCTCGGGGCCAGTTTATTTGAGTGTACCTTTTTGAGGGTAAGTTAACCTGTGACCACGGGAATCGACCGCGTCGAGTGTTGGATCAGTACGGACATACGAAGGTACTGGGTAGAGAGAGATCGGAACGGTTTTTATTGTGAAGACAACAACAACAACAACAACCCCCCCCGCCCTCCATTTCAATCTATCTGTTGAGACCCCGATATCAACGCCATATATATCAATGCCGGTGCACGGACCAGGCATGTCCTTGCGCAACGTGTGGAGGGAGGCTGGATACACCGTGAAGAAAAACAACGACTTCGAAAGGGGGAGACACTGCAATCATGCCTGATGCAGGGAAGTTAATCCTCTATCCGGTGAGTTTTTCTGAATTGTAGAAGCTGCCACCGACCAATGACGTGTACTCATGCAGCCCGCCGCATGCGGTGGAACTTCACCTGCAGCCGACCCAACGCAGCGCTTCCTTTCTCGATACAGTTTGCCTTGCTACCGGCTTTCGCTGTGGCCAACACGTGATTGTTATGCGACAGAATATCTTCACCATGCGCCCGAGCCACGGTTTGAACGAAGCGGTTGGTGAAGAGCATTGCTATGCTCCCATTGTTCTCTCTTCTGGCTTCTCACGGTTACTTTTTCCCGACGAGTCTACCCACATACACAGTTTACAGTCAGCTGTTTATCACACGATCCCACCTCTGACGAGAGTACCGTAACCTCGCTCGCTATTCAAAACGCATCACTAGAGCAGCAAATGTCGAAATTTATCCCAACAATAGACAGTTGGGGTTAACAAGACAGCAGTCTAGATGCTCGGAGGCGGCGAAGAAATACGAACCTGGAACCTCGACGCAAACGCAAAGACAACGCTGTTGGATAGCGGGGCCGGTAGAGCAGTCGGGGCGGAATCTCTTGGCACAGATAGAATGACAATAGTCTGGGCGGGGTAGGGGCCCGCGATAGGGCGGGCGGACCTGCCTGCCACAACCCCACCCTATTGAAGAAGCCCGTACTGCTGTATCAGGGCTGTTATTGAGCGGTAGTCTTCAAGTGCCGCAGTATGCATCGGATATGCGGATGCAGAACGCGCCACACGCATGAGAAAAGAACCTGTTGAGAATTCCGGCTCAAGACACGAGAAATTTCAGAACAGGACCATTAGTGGCTGCATCAGCGTTGAACATCAGCGTGTGTGGGACCCCTTCTCTCTCTCTCTCTCTCTCTCTCTCTCTCTCTCTCTCTCTCTCTCTCTCTCTCTCTCTCTCTCCCTCTCTCCCTCTCTCTCCCTCTCTTTCTGTCTGTTGTTTGGTGACCTTTGATTGACGATGACCGGCGTCAGCCGCACTCGTGCGCGGTCATGTCAAAACCGCGCGGCCTTGCTATGTCGATACAAAGCAGGTCAGATGCTTTGTACTCCGCTCATTAGTGCTATGTAGACGGAGAAGCGCAATCCCGACCAAGACCTCGACGCTCTCGTTCCGGATGTTGAACAAACATTCATCTAAACACCGTCCGTCGCCACACAAAAATCACAACACGGTGTAACAGAGGGAGTTGTTCCAGGCGATTCCCAACGGCGGGAAGGGGGACTGCGGCCCGGCTGCTCTGTGGCACTTGATTTACGGCGGGCGTCCCACCAGCCGCGACCTAAAGGAGATGCGGAATCAGGCGGTGGACCAGGTAGGGCTGGGTGTACGACAGCCAAGCAGAGGTTCAGATCGATGGGAAGATGAAGACTTCGTTGCCGGAATCGTGTTATTCGAGTTTTCAACTATTTTTTTTGTCCGTACGTGTGTGGGTCGGTGACAAGCGGTCAGACCATATTCTATGTTGGCACGCCAGTGCTGTACTTTATGTTGCATTGCCATCAACTTCTCAAAAGAGAATGGGTGAGGAATGTGGTGGTTGACTTGTCCGCCCGGACGAATGCACACTCCGATTGGCCAGTACCTGAATGGCCCCAACGATTAAAAGAGCAGCTCCTGCACAACAAAGACAACTACAACATGACTGGGTAACGAGACGTTCAGGAAACCCTCCTTTCATCGTTCTTATGGGCGCGAAAAACAACTGCTCAAGCCACAACAATGGCATTGTGTTGACCCCCCGAACCCGCTATTTTGTTGCTGAGCTACAAGGTTTACAGCCACCCTACTCGGTACATGGATTTTTTTGACGGCGAGACGGAGGGGAGGCGAAAAGGGATGCTATATAAATGGACAAGGCTGATGAGACAAAAGGGCGAGTGGGCGGATCAGCTGTTTATCAACGCAGTCGCCAGAGCACACGAGGTGCGGGTGGCTTCCGATGCCATCGCCGTTTGAATAGAGCATGGATCGCTGCTTGTGTTGCCACAACTCGTTGGCACGGCTGACCATCTTGCTCACGCCCTGCTCGAAACCTGCGTTCGTGATGCTTGCCGTGTCCCATGTTTGCTTTGCTGCGGCTCGATGCCACCTGGTGTGTTGAAGTACCATCGCGCGTAACTTCGTCTGTCTGTCTGTCTTGTCTTTGTGTGTTGGCTACTTCTAGGTACCCGTTTGATTTGTGCCAGGTAGACAACTCTTCGCGTTTTCCTTTTTTTTTTTCGTACCTCGATGGTAAAGGTCAACATTCGGATCCTGGTACCGGAAAAGAACAATACTCTACGTGACGAGCAAGGAAACTACGCCGGCCAGGGCACCGCTCGAAGGACGTACTACATGCTGCACACCGGCGGCAACCACTTCGAGGCCCTCAAGGCGCTTGGCGAGGTCAAGCCCATCGACGGCTGGACGGTTCAAGAGGTGTAGAAATGATGGTTGACGGTGGCGTTCGCGATGGTCGTGCTCCATGTTCATGACTTGGAGATGTTCTAACTGGTTGTTTTTTGTTGTGGCGGGTGTTGATTGCATGGTGCTACACTACCGTATCACGAGCTGTGCCGACGCTTCGGTATATCGTAGGTTCTCCTACGTGCACGTTGACCTGACAACGAAGAATCTTTTCCATACTGAGGCTCAAGAATTGGGGTCCTCAATATGAGGTATTGACGCGTCTCCTGCCAACCGTGGTATGCATATCCTGGATTTTTTTTTTTTCTTGTGGCGTTGGGTGTTGTGGAGAAGAAAAGCAACGAGGGCAGGAGCCCCATTCGTCGGCCCGTTTCCAAATGGTTATTGGCTTTAGCTAGCATTTTATCCCGAAATGCCACCGAGAACGTCGGGATATCTGTTGCCCACCCTCGAATTCGCGCTGCTTACGGATGGCTTGATTTTTTTGTTTTTTGCGTTCACCCCCGTGGGTTGTCCTGCACGAAGGTGATGCTCGAGGAGGATAGGTCATCTTCGACATCGCCTGTTCGGGCGGGAGACCAATAGGAAAGTCCGAAGGCGCCGAGCACTGCTGCTGCAGGAACGAACGAAAATATACTGTACACACGAATTAGCACAAACATGGGACGGGGGAAAGCCTACAGGGCAGGTCCCTAATGGTGGCATTATCGGCAAGAAGACATGGTGGAGCTCTCTCGCTTCCTGGAAGTATCGAGATTGTGGGGTACAGCGGGTGGGTGGCACGGCTAGAGACGGAGAAAGACGGCGGCGCGCATGGCGGGGAAATAGAGAAGATGGTCAACTGGATGACCGTTTTTCAGACAGCCGGCGGCGTTAGCTTTCGGATCCATGTCGGGACTCTCCTCGTGCGACGAGAGGGGGGTCGGGAGCTTGTTCCGCTGAGCATGTTGGCAACAGTGCGGTGAGGTGGGTGAGAAGAGAAGGGTGTTGGAGTTGTGGT